CGTCAAAAAAAAAACGTCAATGTGCTACGTGGTTCAGTATTTAATAGTGTGTGTAGTTACAAATTTGAATGCAGACATAAATAGTATAAAATATATGATAAAGTATTTTGATTTCATCGACAACAATTTACTATTTTGTAAAAATTAACAATTGCTGATATGTTTTTAAAGACTTCGAGCTAATGATATTATTGTAGAATTTAATGATGTCAATCTAATAATGTATTATAATATATATTTTAAGTGCTGTTATGTATACAATCCTAGTCGGAAGTAACCCAGCCTGTACTCAAAATCGTTTTCGAATAAATTCTAATGATTTATCGTTGTTTTAAAATTTTGTAATGATATGCTCACACATCATGATTGTATTTTGTTTAAATATTTAATAAAATAAATAACAGTCAAGTTGTCGCACGCAGATAACAGTTAAAATCCAACAAAAAAAACACCATTGTCCACTGATGAAAGGAACGATTTGTATTATTTAGTTACATGGAACTTATACGTAGTTGTGACTATCTGGCACAACGTGTGAGCTATTTCGTGTGCCACCAGAGTAGGGGATGGTCCAATGAGGATCTCTGTTGCCAAAGACAATGCTAAGTCTTTGGAAACGCAGAGGCCTTTAGTGGAGCCACCTACAACCCTGGCTGGCTGGACCACGTCGTCTCCTTCCATCAGTGCATGAGCACCATCCAACACTAAAACAACCTCAAGAGTGCAGGAGCACCTAAAAAAAAACTATTTTTACACCAGACATTGTGAGCGACAGCTGGACCGTTTCTTTTTTTAAATCAAAATTTAACAGTGTTGTTATTCTTTAATCTGAGTGTTTAATAAAAAACCTTTATTTATTTTATTACGTCAACTGCATATCAAAGACAGCTGCGAAAGGTAAGGTGCATGCGCATCAATATTCATATATTTATATAATTTTATATATTATATTGTATTTATTAGATTTTTATAATTTAATAATTAATATTTTATTACTACGGTGTAYTTGATCGTTCTCGAATCACGACCTCGAGAACCCTCCGACGATCAGGAGGAAGGTAATAGTGCAATTTTAATATTTATATCTGGTAGCTTATTMTCCAGCTCTTATAAGAGTAGAGAACAATACAGATCCTTTAGTGTAACTCAATAAATCAACCAAACACCATTTTTATTTCTAATATCCTMATATCTTCTACTAGTAATATATAACTATTGGCAGGAGCCTTAGTTATATAATAGTTGTATTAACTTAAATATTTTAGTTATATTATTATTTATTATAGAATTTTATTTATATTATCTTAATTTCTTTTCTTTTATTTTTGCGTTATTACAATTTATAATAAAACAATATACACTGGTTTGCGCTGAGATGAATGAAGCTGAGGAGAACAGTGCCCCACAGCCGTCCCGTGGTATGGTGTATCACGCCGGCACTTTTAAACGTTTATTTCGACGGTTCACGTTATACATAATATTATATTTTACATTGTTTTACTCGATCGGGATCCATCGTTCTCGCCAACGTCATCTCCATTAACGAAACATGTCCACGTGGCATCTGGACCAGAAAAAGATCGAAATACATAAAAACAACCACGGTGGTCGTAAAACCGATACACGTATTCCTCGCTTATTCGTTTGGGATCAGCTTTAATAGATATCGACGTCGTTATACACGCCCCGTATAACAATAACACTCGTATTATTATAAACCCGAGTACCTTCTTATATATTGATAAAATCTAAAAATCCTACGTCGAATGTTGTGCGCAGTAAGTGATAATATAAAATATGATGGGTACTAAAAATCGTAAACGACACTCTCAACGACAAAGTTCAGACGGAAAATCTTACGACTTTATGGGCTGTATTTTTCGTTGTGTAGTCTGTAGTAATATTGTTAAATGTAATATTATAATATATGATCGGACATAAATCGAAATGACATAATCGTTCATCGATTATTATTTATTTGGTTGCAAAAGAATCCTGTAAAATGTGTTCATATTCCATAAAGTGCATATTTTTTTCAAAATCGTTTTACAAAAAGTCATATACGATATTTTATGTAGGTACACTATATGTCTATAAAGATCATAATGAGATGTTATTCATGATGCATTGTATCAAAATAAATACGTAATTTATTGTAATCATCAAATAACTACTATATATCAAATTTCTCTTATAATTATTAGAGTAAATATTAATTAAATATTCATATGATATTATAAAATATTATTCAAATTATAATAATACATGTTATAATATAAMATGCCGGAAAATCGTGAAATGTAAAACAGCTTTACAGTATACAATAATTAGGTGTTTGCGCGCGCAGTAATAATATAATAATAATTCACGATCTCGATGGCCCAATTAAACCATCATGTTACCCCTCCAATCCGTTTCACTTGACGATTCGATTTTGTGGGGTAGAATAATAGTATTATTGAGGTCCATATAGTCAACCGACGCCGAAAACAGCTCCCGTAAGCGTGAAACGTTTATCGAACCGCATAGCAATATACACACACACCCCACTCACATATATTTTATATATATATATATATACATTTTATAATGCGCCAACATCGTCGAATAGGTCACGTAACGATAAAACCCATCACTCGCCCGGGATAACAGTACGTGAGCGATTCGTATTTGATACGCGAGTTGTGGTTGGTCGAGGGTGGTGGGTGGTCAGCCGAGTCGACAACTATGTGGAAAACTATTTCTGACGAGGAGAATTTATAATTGTTGTTGTGCGCTCGCCGAAATGTTATTATTATGTTTCATATATAATGTTGTGGTGGGCGAAACAATGGGCCATATATTTTATATAAATGTAACAATATAATATTATGTACGATGTATCATAATAATATTACCACTGTGGTAGGKCCACAGTCGGACACTTTAGACTTGGTCTCGAGAAATTCACCCGAACCCGACTAATAAACAGCGTATAGTGATTACGTGTAAAAATGGTGATGGTCATGAATTGTGTATCCAAACAATTATCAATTATAGAGTTATTCAATTCCAATAAAATAATAATTATTATAAATAGACGTAATATTAAATTAATATGTTGAGGGCCGAGGTGAACTGACGAAGGCGATTGATTACTTCCAGTATATTCGTTTATAGCAAGCATTCTTTCATTCATTGTCATATATAATATTTTTATATTCAGGAATGTGTCGTTTTTTTATCGTAACAGTACACAATCTCACAATAATTTTAACAAAACGTAACTGATATAAATTTTGGTTTCAGGTATAACACGGCGTTTATGTTAGGCAATTCAGCTACACCTACTTGATCGAGCGCCCATCACTGTACGGCGTTAGTCTTCTAATTAAACATATTAATTATTATTATTATTATTATTATTACGATCGTAGGTCATAATATTCTGATATTCTAAACTGTATATATTATGCGAGCTATTATGAATATCATAATACAATATTTTAGCACAGAATAGTATTGATTTTTGGGTAGCAGTGGTGTTGATATAATTAAAAATATTTTTTAAACTCCGCCGTTCATAAATAAGTATAACTGCGGTATGACGGGACAGCCACGGTTTTAATAATTATTATACCGAAATAAATAGTCGCGGTTTAAAAAAAAAATAAATCTTTTATGAATCTATAAAACAATTACTAAACTTCAGCAATATAATTTTAAAAAGCTGATTTTTGTTTTGATTAAACGAGCACAATACGAACCAGTTGTAACTCTAAAATATCCACTTACTATATTATTAGAAATCTATCGTAATTTTAATATCTGTCTTATTATAAATTACGTTTATAGTAGAATGTTGAGAATCTTGTGTACCTATGAATAATTCAATCAAATCGGAATGTGCAGCTGTCTAAATTTCATCGGTGTACCTCGGATACCACTGTCGAATGGCTCGAATTGGAAATAGAATTGTAAACAGTTATGATATCGATATTTCAAAATGTAAATTTGTATTATATTTACTTTTCTGTAAAAATGCTCATAGTTACGGTTAGTTCTGAGTATTTGACAAAATATCGGAAGTAGCTTGCACACATGGTGGACATTTTTCTCAGACTCCAGACGCAGTTGCTATCTGGGTTTGGTCGTCGAGCTGGTTGCGCGTTGAACAGTTGACAGATCGCGCGATGTGTACGAAAGGAGGAAAAATATTTGGTGAGATCACATATTATACCACACAAACATAATATTATATTATAATATTGTAACACATAAACGGCATTATTCGAYCAGAATTAATTTTTTATGAGGGAAAAACAATAAACTGATACAGGTGATTATAAGAGTCTGAAAAAACACGTAAATTATTTGATGAGATATAGTTATATATTATATTATAGATAGGTAATTTTAAGACGTGTAAACAAATTTTAAAAATAAAATAATTTATATAATCGCAGAATATTGAACTTATTTTTCTGTATCACAAAACGCTATATACACTAATATATTTTTATATTTTATTAAAAGTATGAAGATAGAGGTCAGTAAGTTTCTTTATCAATTACTATTGAAGACTTAAATATCAGTTTAACTCTTCATACGATTTTTAATTGGTATTAATAAGTATATATTTTTCTTAATTTTACTAGCTATTGCAGATATTGGAAGAAACGTGAAACTAGAAGTTTTATAGTATAAAATGTGTTACACTAACATTGCGGTTTGTACGTTTTTTAGATTATTGCAGAATATTTAAGCACCATCTACTCGAAAGAGTTTAATAAGTCTTACACTTTGAAGTATTTTACGACGAAATTCTACATGCACAGTTTTCTGGTTTTCCTACAAATCTTTGTAGAGATATCGTTATGCACTGATAATGTGTATTATATTGTTTAGTTGAAAAAATCTAGACAATATGATAAGAAGAACAACGTGATTTGGAACATCATTTTATTATTCAAAACACATATAATATCATATGAAACATATAAAATAATCTCACATCATCATTGAATGAGTCTAAAAATAAAAATATCTGTAGATATCGTTCACACAAGTACACATGCATGACAAAAATTATTATAATATGTATGCGTAGAATAAAAAATACACATATATTAATTTTTTTCTTTGATTTATTTAAATGGTAAATAGATTTTTTTTTTAATAAGGAAATACACGCAATACGTTGTAGCAGTAGACTGTGAACAGTTATAAGAAAAAATAAACCATCGGATCCACAGGTTATATCAAACGTCTGCCCAGACCACTGCTCTCCTGGATCGGTCCACGCTGGCCACGTTGTTAGTAAATTGATGCCAAGAAACGGCGGTCACCGGTGCGCTGTATGATCATAAAAACAAAATTTTTTTACTATTATTTCGTAAATTTTCAACCATTAATATTAATAAGTATACCTATAATGAAAAATCTAGTAGTACAACATAATATATAAAAACTCATTTAAAAAAAAAAGATTGATGATTATTTTGTATCTTAGAGATGAAAATAAATATATGATATTCATCAAATATATAAAGAAATACCTGTATTTAATATAATTATATATTTTTTTAAATTATTGATAATAATGACGTACAATGCAATTAAAAGAGGTCTAATGGTAAGATGAGATTCGACAAATATTTTCTCAAACTTAAGTTATCGATAAATGTTTTTTTGCACATTTGCCATTGTCCTTATATCGTGGACCTAATATAATTGGCATGAACCGATTAAATAGTAGAAATCTCCGAAAAGCGGATGTTTTTTTGGGGGGGAAAAATTTAGAAATTTCTAATAACTGAACTCACTGATTAGCGGACATAATTTCAGTGATCCAATATAATATCCAGAAATAATACTTTTCGTTATACAACGTAAATATAATAATATGTGCATATGTACTTGTGTTCGTTCCTCAATACTACAAGCGGTTTTTCGGGATTTGACACGGCCCATATGAACACAGATCCTTCGGAGGATCCTACTGCCACGTGATCGTAATCCAAATTGAATACTGCTCTCGTCCAATCACAACCCACTTTGAATCCATCAGCCCTGTTTATACACACAGTGAAGAATAACAGTGTAAGTATACACATTTTACGTTATTATTGGCAGAATTATTTGTTAGGTGCAACACAATATTAGGTGTAATAGGTGCCTAGACAATATATCTAATGACTTTTTTCAAACTTTTTGGATAGGTAAACTAGATATATAAATTATACGCCATATTTATATTACTAAATAATATATTGCACTTGTATGTATATTATTATTGTTTATTATTAAAAATACCAAATTTAGTCGATAACGTAACGCAAAATAGAACGATGGAAAATGTGAAATGATGAACTGATAATCTGTTGAAATAACCATCATACACCTATGCACATTCTTGGAATATAAACATTTTGAACAATACTAATTTTTTTCAAATATATATTAATAAATTGTTCAGTCATAAAACCGTGATGTCTCCGGTTTTGCTTCTGCTGTCTCAGTCTTTGGTGGTCTATGACGTGTGTGGGATGATGGGATTATAATAATATTATGGTTTTACGATCGAACTACAATTTTCAAAACCTGATAAAAAGGTGTTAAATTACTATTAATTGATTACAATATTATATTATTTTATGCGTATACGCCATCAATGTAATTTATCGTTGAAAGTTATTTTACGTGTATTATTATTTTATKTTTAAAATTCGAATYGTCGAAAAAGGACTATAACTATAAAATTAATGGATAATAATAACAGGTACACTTATATAGATGAGTACATAACGTTCTAATATGTATATTAATTTAATTGAAATCAATTACCTATCATAAATGTCCGTAAAAACCGTTCAACTTTTTCGTATTTAATTGAGGAACAACAATTCAAAAAATAACCCTCATAGTATTTGTTTAAAAAATTAATTTTCGGAGTCTGGTAAAATAAATTATAATAACAATGTTCGGGATATTAAAACAACGCGATATAAGTAGATGGTTTGAAATTAAATAATAATATTAACCAAACGTCGGTAATTTTACATGATTTGATTTTATGTCTATACAATCTACACGTATAACGGTTTTTCGCATTTTGGTAAACGTCCATACACATTCATGAGCTTAATGTAAGAATATTATGTGCTCGTTCAACATACACTATATTAGTACCATACAGTTGACGTTTAATAGCATAATTATTATTATAATAACGGAACATAAAATTTTACATATTATATATTGCTGCGTCTAATATTACGAGGGCAAAAATATATAACAGATATCAGCGTACCTAGCTGAATTCATAGAACCATGTGATGCTTGCGATMTTTTTGTTTTATACATAGTTCATTATTTGTGAACAAAAAATTCGACGAAAAGACCAAAGACAATTTTTGAAACGAAAATCCTTGAAGTATTTTATCCCCACTCCCATCTTCTAATTAAATAGAAAGCTTTTGAATTTAATTTTACTACCCACATTGGCTATTTGTTCAATACTTATATGGTTTAAACCTAAGAGATTGGAAAAACTTTTTTTTTTTTTAAAGAAAGGCGAACGGGAAATAAATTAAAAAATCCGAATTATATCGAGTAAAGTTAACAGAGARTGAAAAAAATTGCAACAAAGGCGGAACGAAATTGTACTCGAAACAGTGAGCGGGAAGCCAACCAGCCATTGTACTATCGGTGTTTGGAATAAAGTTTCGAAACACAAAAAGATCTAACTAAACGTTACCAGGAGAGTGTTAAAAAAAGTCTGTATATATATTTATATGTATATAAAAAAAAAATAAACCTTATCTGTAGGATTGTACTTACGTACATATATATATATGAATACATACAAAAACTGTGACTGCTTCATTGAACGTATACGCTACCCATAATAACTATATATAATATATATGTATATTATACAAAGTTATACACAGTCTATACCTATATATAGTGGAATAAAACGGTTTTATCTCGTAACGATAATTATTTTTATTCGCGCGGCTCCTGTATAATTTAGCTTTCCGATTTCATCCTTGCAAATGGATTCGAGTTGATAATAATAATGATRATAATAATAATGAAAATGATAATAATAATAACAACGACAGCAATAATAGTAATAATAACTACATCAGTGAGGTGAACAGAAAATTAAATGAATATGACTTGCTCGAATGTGTTGATTATTTTGTTCGTCCTGAGATCAACCAGCCGCAGGGTGTCGTCCCGGACACAGCTCAATAGGTAATTACAATCTGAAACACAATCGTAATCGATATAATTATATATTGTTTGTCGACGACTTGTGCAAATAATAGTTATAATAACAATAATAATAACAACGCGTTATTCGCATAAACACACAATCCGCCAAGGTACATTGCTGAAGCTGCCCAGTAAACCCACATACCACGTTTACCAGTCAAAATGTTATTATTATTGTAGTTATTATCAATAGTATAAAATATTATTAATATATTACCGTCGATTGTCGATAGCCTTAGAAACACGACTCGCCGCTGGCGGTGGACCCTACTATATAGCCATATAGGTACCAATCATGATAATAATAATACTAATATTTCATTATTTATCATAAGACTACGATATGTGGACCGAACTATTATAATATTGTTCACGCCAAATATTRTATATATACCTCTCATCCACAACCGGGTATGCGGTTCAATTAAAATCTAACGCGATCGCCAAACGCCCGGTGCAACTTTTGTGCGTGTGCATTATACTCGAACGTATTATTATATTTTATTGCGTATTATCATCATCATAATACTTTGCGTTTATTTCACGCTGCGGCGATGCATTCCCACTAGGGGGGGTTGTTCGTTTATCGCGAGTTGCGTGCATTGCGATTATTAGCTGGTGTATACAGAGTGTAACAAAAATACCTGACAAATGAAATAACTTGTGTGTGTTCTGAATTTCTGATGAATATTTAAACATTTTTTGTTTTTAGATATAATTCATATAGATACTTGCGCTACAAGTTCAGTACAACATTTTTTGTTCTTATTTTTTGGAAAAATTGTTATAGACTAATTATTTTAACGGAAAAACGTTGTTTTTTTTTTAAATTAAATAGTACCTAGGTGCATTTTTAAGACTTTTTAAAATATCAATATTTTATAGGTGACAGTCAATTTGAAACATAATAACGATTTTTAAAATGATATTATTCGGAATTTTCCGACATAAATATATTTCCTAAATACTCAAATCATTTTCATCATACGTTTAAATAATATCGATTTTTATTATTATTTGGCAGGTAATTCTGTTACACTCTGTATAATAATATAAGCGTATGTTTTTATTGACCCRCACCGAAAGCGCGTAATAAAATAATAATATAACACGCGGCCATTAGACAATCGAAAAGATCACGTGAGCTGTTTTAGATGGTGTATTATTATTATTATTATTATTACGAGATATATCCTGACAGACAGGTTTCTGCAAATAAAAAAAAATGTACACACTACAATAGTGTTTTACCTGGAGTCACGCTCGCTCCCATTTTTCATTTAATGGGACGTAATGAATTATTAAAATTATGATTTTTGGTATCTATAATATACCTATCCACATAGGTATATGGTACAATATTTTCAAATAAGACATAAAATTTTTACGCCATTTAAGCAATTGGAACGAGTGTTTTCAGAACTATTAAATTGTATGCATAGATTCTGAAGATAATATTTCATATGATAATAGTGGCTTAAACATTATAACATATGTGGGATATTGGGTATGGTATGATTTGAAAACCAAGATTATCCTKAGTAAATATTATCACATACAGTTAAATAAATCGTTCAAATTTTAGATATCATTTTTCCCTCAAAACCGTCTCAGCTGTTTAACAATAATGTACGCAGTAAAAACAGATATAGATATGGTTTTCGTCRTTTGAAAAAGGGAGATTTTTATTGTGCCAAAGGGCATATCCGATTCACATAAAGTTCTATAGAAAAATAGAAATATTAATTTGGAAATCTGTTCCTATTTCTGAAGTATACTTTCGAATTATTTCAATAAACCAAATATTTGACTATAAGAATATACGATTTGGGATCGGCATGMCGATATTGGCGAGTACCCACCAACTATATATCATAAATGCTACAATTTAATATTTTGCACATCACGTGTCTATAACCAGTGGCGACTATTTTTTCCTTTACTCACATTTAATATTTTTACATCACCCATCCTAAACATTTATTACTGCTCTCTAAATAGTGAATTTATATAGGTTGTTTTTATTTGGTGGGTTAAATAACCTTTAAGCAATTTTCAGACTACTTTTTGCCAGCCATTAATGTTTTTGTGATTCGCGTGATTCAAATATCAAATATACCTTCAACCCGCCACTGGGTATATAATATTTCGAGCCGATTGAAACCGCAGAATTTCATATACGGTCGGGAGAGTGCACATCGGCAATGCTATAGCCTATTATAACACTAGAGCATTGCAGGTTTACTCACACGACTCGTATGACTGTAATAWTATAATATTGAGTGTATATGCGTAAAATATACCTATCCTTTTCGACTGGGTACAATAWTAATAATGATAATATTATATCATCTCCATATATTTTATTATAATGTATTTGCAACGAGGACAGAGCTGGTCACCAAAACTAGTTTCAGGCACAAACAATATATTATTATTATTAAATGTCACATGACGTGTCGTTYTGACTGGGWCGCGCGTAGTTCGGTGTCCTATATAATTTGCGTAAAATTATTTAAAAATATATTCCCGTCTGCAGTGAATTATGCATCATACGTTAAAAATGCGGTCCATCCGGCCGACCGGCTCCGTAGCATATCTTCCGGGACAGTGCGCGTGAAATATATCCATAATAATAATAGTTCAATAGTTGTAATAATGTAATCGTCTAGCAGTGTGTGTAAATCACGTGGCTAGTGTTGTAATATTTTATATTATAATAACATGTTCTTGGCGGAGACAAATCCACCGAAATCGATGTGAATACTATATCATTACAGAGTGATGATGAACGATCTCGCRACGTCAATAATTCCCGGAAACATTCGCGGTATTATAATATAGCCTCGAGTGCGAGTGCGAGACTAACTRTTGAATAAGCGTTTGTACAGTGTTGTGTTTTTGTTCAAATTCGATCGTCTAGGATTGCACATAATATACGCAATATACATAACATACAGACTTGTAGCGTTGGCCGACTAGAATAATTTATTGATTAACCACTTCATAACATGAATATGCATATAATATAACTTTATATATTCTATATATAATATTAAACGATAGTCGTATAGTTAGCTGATGAAAATCCTGTGAGAAATCACTCTGGTACCAATTTTTACGATTTGTAATTAACTGCGGCAGGACGAGTATAATATAATGACTATAAAATTGTAAATAACGTGCTACGTGCTCAATATAATGTACACACTGTTCATTTATAAACATAAGATATAGGTACTCTCATTTTAATAGTGTTKTGAACATATTATATATATATTTCATRAATCATAATGTGCCYCCACCTAAATAAAGTATAGTAACACGACGACGATTATAATATTTTAATTATTATAATGTATTCATTAAAAATGACTTGTTTCCGTCGTCAACATTCGTCGTTGGCGTCGTCGTCGTATAATTGAAAAACTCTTGACAAAGCTCATCTAATTATGCATCGTAGGTTTATTAATCGTCACGTTAATAATAATTATACTCCACCGATGCAAACTTGCGGTATTTAACGTTTCGCTAATTTAAACATTCGTGTAGTAATAACCGTTGGACATGGTATATTTTATATATATACACGACGTGCACAATAATTATATGTTGGTTGTTGGCTTAGTAACACGGTCWTTTTTAATTAAAAATGTTATTACAGCATATTTTGAACGAAGCACGAAATAATTATGCAACACAATCTATAGTTGGTAGTTGACAATACCTACGAATCATCGAAAATCACGAATTCGAACAAAACTTAAGTAGATCATCGTCGATATCAACTATCAAGACACTGTACACCACATCATTATTTTGAAAATTACTCCCTGCACGGAACAAAAAAATTCGATTAAATATAGGGAAAATAGGTCCTGAAAATGTCATGTGCGAACAGTTGGCTCCCGTAATAATTTTATAAACTGAAAATTGATTGGCCTCCGATGATTTTTTTCCATAGATACATATTGAAAATTATTTTATTTTTTTCAGYAATATAAAATATATAATTTAAACAATCTRCACTACCGACAGAATAAATTCAATTTATATAGTGCTATATCAAAAAATGCCATTAAAATAACACGGTGTTCAACTTTCAGTAATTCATTTGATAAGATACATATGAATAATTACGATCGGTTATAAAACTATTTTTATAAAACTGTTTTGAAATATATCGTAATCTATAAATTATATTTAAAAAAGTTGAGAAATAAAAAGATATAAATTGTAGATTCTACAATGACAAATACAYGACATAGGTAATTTCATGACTAAATAGATAGGTAGTATGATCACATCGGTCGTACTAGTTATCGTCCATTCTAGCGTACCACACCTACTGCTGTAGTACTCGTTATTTCATTGGTCGTTATAATTTTGGCACCAATATTTTATAATATGAGAATACCTATTACATTTTAAGTCAATAATTTCTAAAAAAAAATTCAGCAAATCATTAATCAACAATTTAAAATTAATGATGTACTATAAAAGTATAAAAAATGAATAATAATTTAATATTTTAGTGTTGACCCGACAGAATAAATGAAAAYTGTTGATAGGTATACTTGATAATATGTATGRCCAATGAGAATTTGAGAACTGAGTAATAGACTGGGTCTGAAGAGGAATGTGCGTATCAATAAAGATGTGATCATACCTATCTATTTAGTCATGGGTAATTTATTATCTTAATAAAAATATCTCTAAAAGGATTAACCCATTTTATGTATTTTGTTGTTCTGAAACTTAGGTGACGTATGTATAAGTTTGTAAAAACTCCAATATTCTTCATTATTCAACTGCAATAGTTTGTATTATTTGGATTTTTTATATTCCGTTTATATTCAAAACTCCATACTTACATTATATAATAATTAATAAAAAATTTTTTTATAATTAACTTTGAATATATATATGGCTTATTTTTCAATCACGGACAACTCGTAAGTACAGCATAGAAAAAATGGGGACCAATCATTCGTGAATAAAATTACGACTCTGGCAAATTGTCCTGGTGTTATTTTGTTAGGTATCAATTGTCCAGGGACCAATTGTTCGCTATTGCCGGATATATCACGTAGACATCATAATAGGTGTTATACAATACATGTATTTATTACGGCACTCTACATCACTCGGCGCTACAATCCAGCAATATAGCTGCGATGTCCAGGCACGTATACATTTTTACATGTATTYATGTGACACTATCTRTAGGTAGCTATATTAAAATGTTAGTATTAAATCGAATCGAT